CCCTGATGGTCCAGGGTGTGCAGTGCCCCCTGCTGGCCCAGGGTGTACGGTGCCCACTGCTGGTTCAGGGTGTGCAGTGCCCCCTGCTGGCTTCTGCTGTGGAAGCCCTGGAGCAGAGCCAGAAGGGGCAGGCTGGTGACCTCTCTGCTGCCTCCGTTTTCTCACTGCCTCCGTTTTCTCATCTGTCTAATGAATACGGTGACAATAACAACACAGTAATTACACCCCAGAGTTCTATGAGTGACAAACAAGTGTCACATGGGTGCGTTTCAATTCTGGCAGCCGCTCAGTGTCCTCAGTGGTGAGCCAAAAGCTACTGCTTTTGATTTCGTGCCTCACAGTTTAAACAGCCCATGTGTGTCCCAGTACATAAGCATGCATGTGTGTATACACAAATGTACATACATTCCACATATGTTTATACTACCACACAAACACCTTCACACATCCACATCCATATACATGCACCACACGTACACAGCACGCCTGTAAACACGAGAACACACACACACACACACACACACACACACACACATGCTGCCTCTGCTCCTGTCCCTGGGAAATCTCCCACATCCTCCAGTCTGTCTCTTAGTAGCCCTTTATCCACAGCAAGCACCTCTGCCTTGAGCTGGGCTGTGCAGGGAACTTACGGTTGCTCCAGGGTTGACAGTGGCTCCTTCCACACTGCACCCAAGCAATCCATGCAGGGAATCCTGAAAACGAGAGACAGCTGGATCCAGATCCCGATGGCACTGCGAATGTGGAGCCAGAGATCCCACCCAACAGCCCAGTTTGCTTCTAACACTGTAACTTGATTCAGACCCAGCAGGACCAGCTTCCCCCAGGGCGGAAGCTCTTCTTTTGGTTGAGGCAGAAATCTGGGGACACATGTGGCGGGGGAAGGAACAGGACCTGGGATCTGGCCAGTGTCACTAATGTGCCGATAGCTGAGATGTGTCACGTGTGTTAGTCTGAGAAGTCAGCGAGGCCTCTTAGGGTCCAAGGGTTCAAACAGGAACAGCTGGACCCTGGGCATGCAGTGGTGAGGTATGCCCACAGGAGACCGCCACACGAACACTCACTGCTGCTGGCGACTGCACGGGGAACTTGCCCAAACCATGCAGTTTTGAGCCTTATGTCCTTTTGTCTTTCCTGTACAGAAATCACATCCTGGTTGTTGTCCCACTTCTGCTAGCACGAAAGCAGAACTACAGAAGGCAAAAGGCAAGGGTCATATATGTGGGGCTTTCCTGGAACTACAGACTCTTTGATGAACTGAGTCTTTGTTCCTGTTTTGGCAGAGGTTGGGAGCTTATGGAGCTCTAAGGTCAGATGCCTCTAACATGGCGCCAGTTATGCTATGAGAACCTGTTACAGTACAGACAGACGATGGCCGTGAGTTGAGGCCAGAACCACTCCCAAGCCTGAGCCAGCAGGGCTGTCAGCAAGCCGGATTCTCCTGGCAACTTAGACCCGGCAGGACGTGGGGGAATCAAACCTAATCAGGCTCTCCTGCCGTCAACACAGCTGCGTCCGCCGCTCCTCCCTGTGGCAGCAAGATGCAGAGAGCGCTGCAGAAGGGACAGACAGGCTGCCTGCTGGAAAGAAGCTCGGCTGTCCTGCTCCACATACCCCAGAAGGAGGTGCAAGGACAGAATTACAATACTACGTGCACATGGGTCTGCCTTGTGTGTGCCTGTGTGGATCGGGGCAGCTGGGCTGTGGAGTCGAGGAAGGGACGCTCGGAGGCGGGAATGTCCAGAGCTGGACAGAGAAGGTGGACCAGGGCGCCTTTCGTTAGGACACCTGTTGTCTCAGAGGCGCCCCTGGGGGGAGTGGGGGGGGGGGGGAGACCAGGAGAACCGCTGTGCCGCGGGCGCCCTCTGCTGGCGGACTTTGCATCCTACACTCCTAGCCACGGAGATAGGAAATTGACCCAACTGAACAAACCCTGTTCTTTGGAGGGAGGTAAATGCTGGTGAGAAAAAGGATTTCTGTATCAACATAGTAGAACTGGGGGAGCCCCGCCCTGTTCACCGTCACTCCCAACCTGGAAAGGTTACCTTCCTGTAACTACTGTGAAGGGAACTGTGACCCTGAGGCAGAGACTTTTAGAAAAGTCTCCCTTTGGGCTACTTCCTGCTTTGAGAAGTCTCAACACCTCAGGGCCTTTGGAGCTGCCCTGGAATGTGGTCTCTCCTAGGCTACACAGTGGCCAAAGGACAGACTGCCTCTGTCCTGTCCTAAAGCAGGTCTCTCCAAAGAGCCGTGCCTTGAGAGGAGAGGGACCAGCAGAGCTCTCCCCGCGGGCCCCCCCCCCCAGGTGCTCTTCCTTCGGGGGCACACAGAGCAGTATCAACCCCCACCCACCCACCAAGGTATGCCCCAGAGGCAAAGGCAGGGCCATAAGTCTCCTCCCTGCCACTGCTCCCGAGAGTTTCCAGGCCAAGGAAACAAGGAAGGTGAAGATGAAGCCATTCCACTGGAGAAGGCTGGTTTATCCAACCCGGTGACACGAGGAACAGTGTGTGACGTTTCACTATGACAGAATACTGGGGAAGAAGCACTTGGAGAGGGGTGCGTTATTCTGCCTCCCTGCTCCTGGGATTTGGTCCTTCATGGCAGCTGCTTCTGTTGTGCCTCAACCGGGAAGCAGAGAGCAAAGAATGGGGGTGCTCAGCTCACTTTCTGGGTTTGATTCAGTCAAGGCCACTCAAGCCCATGGTGTGGTGCCATCCACATTCCCACATCTACCCAATCTAGACACTGTCATAGAAAGCCCAGAGGTTTGCCTCCTAGGTGACTCTAGCTGATGAAAATATGGTGTAAAAAGTTTAAAAATAATAAAAATGTAGTAATAAAAATAAATAGAACATGTGTTGTTTTCACGAGGTGGGTAACATGTTTACTGGTGATGCCTTTGTGTCTGCCTACTTTTCCCACCACCTCTGTGCTTTTTAACTCACGTTTGAACTCCTAGGGAACTCGAGTGAGTGTGCAGGACGTATCATGGTGAAAGGACCAAGATTCAGACTGCATCCTGAGAAGCCAAGGTCTGTGGCTACTTCTCTGTCCTTGGCACGCGGCAGGGGGGATAGAATATAAGAGCGTATTAAAGAGATGGAGCAAACGGTGGGGATATAAGAGCGTATTAAAGAGATGGAGCAAGCAGCTGGATGCAGCTCACTGATAGAGTGCTGGTCTAACATACAAAGTGGGGTTTGGCCTCTAGCATCCCAAAAACTGGGAATGTAATCCCAGGATTTCAGAGGTGGGGAGGCTGGGGGGGGGGTCCAGAAGCTCAAGGCTATCCTACACCACATAATTAGTGACCAGCCTGACAGACGACCCTGTCTTAAAAACAACAGCATGATGAAAAGGTGAGGCGTGACTGTTCTTTTCTCGTTCCTGTGACAAAATGCTTGACAGAAGCAGCCAAAGCGAGAGTGTTTTGCCCCAGTGTTTAAGACGGATTGGAGCCACCATGGTGGGAGGGCGTGGCGGGCGAGAGCGTGAGGAGCTGCACCACAGACGCAGGACCAGAGAGGTGTGGAAGCTGTTTCTCCAGCCTCTTCCTGCCTCAAGGACCCCTCAACGACCCTCTGGAGACATCCTCAGACGCATCCGGAGGTTTCCCTCAAAGGAGGTCCTAAAACCACGGCAAGCTGACAATGGAGACAACCACCACAGAGACGGTTCAGGTCACCACCGCCATCTCCTGGCTTAGGAGGAGAAAAAAAAAAGAACTCACAGGACTCTGAAGTGAGCCGGGCTGACGTGGAGCCCCACCTCTGAACTACAGGCGGGAAAACTGAAAGCGGTAAGAGTAATCGGGTGAAGAACATCGGGAGTGGAAGGACGTTGGCAGGGCTCCCCGTGAGGATAAGCCAGGTTCCCCCAGTGAAAGAACCGAGCAATACGTGGGGCACCTTCTCTCACTGTCCCCTCTAGGGCAGTTGAGATAGGAAGAATGGCACCTGTCAGTTACGTCCCCGGGACACTGCTTCGCATAGAAGAGCTTTTGGAGAGCGGTGTCAACATCGTGACATTTAATTCACAAAGCTGTGCACTCGGTGGTTGACAAAGTACTGCTGGAGGACCATCCTACCTGCTGACTGTTCTTATAAGTATAGGTTTATTAGAACACACCCGTGTTGACTGCTCACTTACGTATTGTTTGTGCTTTGTTCATACACAGCAGCAAAGACCATGTAACCACAAGAGCCTGAAGTACTTGCTGTCTGGTTCTTCCTAGCAGGTAAAGATAAAAGTGTGTTTGTTATTCACGCACCCACACTTGGGGAAAGAGGAAGGGAAGGAAAACAGAGCCGCACTGCACAACCCGTTTTGTCCACTGAAACTGTGTGCGCCAGTCCTGGTCTCACACAGCTGTAATCCCTGCTCTTGGGAGGTAGAGACCGGAGGGCCAGGAATTCAAGGTCGTGTGCAGCTACAGAGGTTGGGTGGAGGCCAGCCCAAGCTACGGGACCCTCTCAAAAACAAAACAGCACTTTTTCAAAAGCAAAATGGAAACAATGACACTTTTTTTTTATATTCTCTGTATTTTTCAGCATTGAAAATGTATTTGGGTAATAATGAGAATGGAGAGAGAAAGGCAATGCAGTGTACTGTATTCCTGACCGGGAATGGGCCACACCATATGTGACCGTGTCTGTGTGCAATGCATGAGTCCTCTGGTCCACACTGTATGTGACCATGCCTGTGTGCAATACATGAGTCCTCTGGTCCACACTGTATGTGACCGTGTCCGTGTGCAATGCATGAGTCCTCTGGTCCACACTGTATGTGACCGTGTCCGTGTGCAATGCATGGGTCCTCTGGGCCACACTGTATGTGACCGTGTCCGTGTGCAATGCATGGGTCCTCTGGGCCACACTGTATGTGATCGTGTCCATGTGCGATGCTGTGGTTCCTCTGGGCCAGAGTTTGGGTGGAGAGAGGGAAGGAATCTCTGTATAAAAAGCAGAACTTTAAAAAAATGCAGCCAGGCATAGTGGCACACATTTTTAATCCCAGCACTCAGGAAGCAGAGGGAAGCAGATCTCTGTGAGTTCGAGGCCAGCCTGGTCTGCAAAGTGAGTTCCAGTACGGCCAAAGCTGTATGGTGAGGCCCTGTCTTCCTGTGACGTTGGAAGTGTTGATAGGGACTCACTAAGAGTACGCGAGGGAGCAACTAGGGAAGTCACGCGCCTGGCCTTTTGGGAGACGTATTTTTGGACGGTCACGCTGTCTCCAGGCCCTTTGCCCTTAGTGACTGCAAAGAGAAGCCATGGCTGCTTTAGTCAGCCAGTCAGCAGGCGCTTGAGTGTCTGCATATTCCAGGAACAGAGGCGAGGGAGCCCGTTATTTATGGAAAGGCTTGTGAGAATGCCGGGAGTCTTGGAAGAGCTTCACACGGGAGGAATGCCCGCGCAGGCCTGCCAGTCATGTTCACATTCCCTGGGGATGCCTGAGCTCAGGATGCGAGGGAGTACTTGGTGACTGGTCCCAGGGTGCGGGCCCAGGGGAGTGTTGCAGAATGCCCCCCCTCCCCCACCAGCACTGCTGGTCATAGCAGGGCACACAGAGGCTGAGGGTCAGGATGAGGTAGCAACATTAGCTCCCTGACACCATCCACCGAGGTGGCCACCCTGATTTCAGCCTTGTGCTGCTGAGCTAGCCCTGCAAGGCCCTTCTGGAAATGGCATCGTATCAAGGATCCGATGTGAGCGTACTCACGGGGTTGGTCTAGACTAATTGGGTCCCTGTGGTTAGAAGGAGAAACTGCCTGGTGTTCCCATTCTCTTCTGGGATTAGACTGCAGGGCTAGCCCTCCAGACAGCGCTGGCCTCCAGAACAAGCCCCCCTGTGTCACTTGTGTCCCTTAGACACCATGGAAGTTAATGCTCTATGTGACTTGAAGGGCAGTGTCTGGGTGCCATCCTGAGAGAAAACATTCTAGAAACAGCTTCCCAGGGGTGTTGAGATCTGGGCACAGCCCCAGGGTGAAGAAAGGCCCAGAGAGGTAAGGCAGGGAGGAGTCAGATACTGAGGAACTGACAGAGAGAAAGACAGCCCTGCCCCCTACAGCTGGCCAGGAGACTCCATCCATTGGGAGTGACCCT